GAATTCATGTTTCGGTCCGACCTATCTCATTTATGTTAGAAAATTTTTTGAGACATAAATTAGATAGATTTTTATATTCTCAAAATTTCTTACTTTTTGCTCTATTCCCGTTAAATCCCATTATATTTAGATTTACATTGTGTAAATATAATCATATATATTTTAAACATTCACTAAAAACTATAATCTATTATTTATATATTTGTTAGTATAATCGATAATTAGTAAGTTTTTTAACTTTTAATCAATTATCTTTTTAGTTTTATAATGTATAATATAAAAAAGACCTTTCATATTCATTTTTGAAAAACTTATTTACATAGGTTTAAATATTAAAATTAAATGATAAAATGGTATAATTAATTTTAAAAATTAAATAATAAAATGAGGTGGATGATGATGTGGCTTAAGGAGAACAGAGAAAAAGTTAACTTTATATATATAGATTAAGGTTTTAACAAGTCATAACAAGTTTAAAAAATAGTTTAAAAGACAGAAATACCCACAAACATTAGAGTAGAGTCTAAACCCTCACCTTACTCATATAGCGCTCCTGACGCTTTTTTGCAATTACCTTTGATGGCGTCAGCATCTCATATCTATTTGCTATAAGCTCTCATGGCGATGATTCTTGTGCCTTGTGCCATTGCAGCCATGGCGCATGCCATTGCACATTTTTCCAAACGCAGTATCCAAGGTTTCACAAACAATTAAGAAACATAAAACATCAAAACAACAACTCTAGATCATTTTCCTCATCTTCGCCTTGATTTCACGATCACACTTTCTTTACACCATAAGAACATATGTGTGAGTATTATCCCAAATGCTCAGTGAGACGGTCCTCCCATCTACTAGGTTATACACACAAGCTTACTAAATCATGATTTCCCGCAAAAATTCCATCTCCAACCTCAAATTCCAACTACTTGCGCCTCTTATCCGCATAACTCTTATACCGATCTTGCGCCTCCTTCATGTTCAGCTTTAGAACTCGACTTTTCTCCGAGGTCTCCTGAACAAATTCTGCACCATATATGCTCATCTCCCCCACTTGAGTCCAGCATAAAGGTGTACTACATGACCTCCCATACAACGTCTCATAAGGAGTCATCCCAATACTCACCTGGTAGCTATTATTTATAGGAAAACTCCACCAAGCTCAAGTGATCTACCGACTGACCACCCTTAGAACTTTGAAACTCTACACTCTCTGGAAAAATGCTAAAAGCGGCTGAAGAATAACAAAGTTGACTTCTCGTCCTTTTACAAGTCAAACATAGGGTTAAATCAATCCAATCAAGACGATTTTGTAACTAAAATCAAACCGGTCCAACCAAAAAAATATTGGTGTCGATCGTTACCATTCCTTGGTATCGATCGACCCCACCCATTTTTGAACACAGGTGTTAAAGTGGATGTTTCTTTTTTTTTTGGAAAATCAAGGTCGGACGTTTCGTAACGGTCAAATTGAACCCTTTTTTGGGGGAGTAGATGTTTATAATTTTTATTGTATTAAAGGCTAAACCTCTAGATCCACACTTTGAACTCTCTCACTAAACCTCTAGATCCACACTTAGAACTCTCTCATTCTTTCTCTTTAGTTTCAGGAAGCGACTCAGCCAAACCTCATCTTGTTACTAAGTCGCATAACCAACCAACCCTAGCGACTAAATAAGAGAATAGATGGGATGGAATAGTTCATTTCGTCCATCCACGGAAACGCTTCTCTGATAAACCATTGAATTCACCATCGTAGCTCCATCTCCACACTCTTGAGCTCCACTTTTGTTCTCCATCAACCAAGAACTAAATCTATAGTCTATGATAAGTTCTACAAGGTTCTATTTCAAACAGAGCTTGTTGACTCAAACAAAAATAATAAAATTAACACCATTCAATCCATACAAAACATATATATGAACACTTGATTAATTGATAAAGTAACCGTTCAACTGGAAATCCCACCGCTGGATATGGGACCGGTACTACCACGAGCATCACCATCAAATTTCTTCCCGATCAGACAAATTTTTGACCTCCAAACTTTCCCTAAAAAAGGCCATCTCATAACAGTTTCTAGTGTTCTTACTTAACTCAGATTTCACAGCTTACTCAGATTTCACAGCTTACTCAGATTTCACAGCTTCTCAGCAGTTATTTAGGCATAAAGGAACAAACATAACTCCTTTGATTCAACTCCGAATAACAAAACTATTTTGGTGATATGAATCAGACAAGTGGGCTTGTCCTAAAGAGTTGGGCATGTTAATGTTACAGAGGCCCATCTTGGTCTGCTTAGGATTCTGCTCAGGTACAAACGACATTTGCTCTGTCATTTTCAAGACAGCACGCTCTGGATGTGTGTCTGGTATGATTTTGTCTTGTAGCACCTCCAAGGCTGCGATAAAGTGCTATTAAAGAAGTGAGGAGCAAAGGGAACAAGGTAAGCATTTGGCGTCACATTAGAGAGATATTAGGGCAAAGGGTGGTAGATAGAGAGAAACTTACAGTGGGTGTGAGAGACATTGTCTTCTTCATTGTTTTGTTCTTCTTTCACAAGGGTTATGTATCTCTGTTCGGTGAGTGACATGAGTTTGGCGTGAGTTTGTTCTAAGTTGTAGTAGCTTCTCTGAATACTTCTTGTGAACTGGTTTCAGGTTCACTAAGACGTACTAGGATCACATCGATCATAGAAACTCGTAAATCTCCGTGTCTCTTTTCTTTCTTGCACAACGATCTAAACCTGCAAAACAGTAGAAACAGAGCACAAGTTAGCAAACATGTTCAGAGGCAAATCAGTAGCTTTCTAGGTTAAACACTTAGAGATACTTGTAACAGTGGTATCAGAGCCAGGTTTAGAGTGTTTTACCCTAGGAAAGCGTAGATCTACAAGGTTTTCTGCAGATCTAAGTTGTTACTGTGTTACAGCTCAAAAAGGTCCAACCTTTAATTCTGAAAGGTTACAGCGGCAAAAGTTAAAGATCAGCTTGAGTTTGTGGTTTGTCTGTGGTTTGTGGTTGGTGTTTGTGTTTATGGTTGCAGGTATTGGTTATGTGTTTTTGTTTTGTGGTGTGAGGTTTAGGTATTGTACAGATCTCAAGAATGGAACCAACACAAGGCAGATTTGAAATGGAGAAGTTTGATGGAGATAGTGACTTTGGTCTGTGGAAATACAAGATGCGTGCTGAGCTGGAAATCATGGGTTTTGAATTAGTTCTTCAACTTTCAACAAAGGTGGGTGCTGATGGAAAAATTGTGGAAGGGCCGAGTGAAACAGCTAAGTTAGATCCAAAATTGCTGGAGAAAGACAAGAGAGTGAGAAATCTCATGAGCCACATTTTGGTTGATAGTGTGCTTAGGAAAGTTATGATGGAACCCACTGCTTATGCTATGTGGCCAACTTTGGAGAATACATATCAGGTGAAGACATTACCAAATCGATTTTATCTGAAGCATAGGTTATTTAGCTTCAAGAGGGAGGATGACAAGAGTCCTGACAAGAACTTCGATACCTTCAATAACCTCATATCAGATCTTTCTAGCCTAAGTGTGGAGACGACTGAAGAAGACACGACGGCGATTCTTATGAACAGACTACCTAAAAGATTTGATAATCTGGTACACACCTTGAAGTACAGTAGCAGCAAAGACAAGGAATTTATAACTCCTAAGGAGATCATCATGTCAGCTTATTCTATTGAATTGGAGCTGAAGGAGAAAAGAGTTCTAAAGAAACCTGTTGAAGAAGGGCTGTTTGCGCAGAATGACTGAGAAAAAGACTCAGCCAAAGGGAAAATAAAACTAAAAAAGCAAATCAAATACAAAGAAAAGAGCTTGTTGGATATGCGGTAGTGAAGAGCATCTAAAACTTGATTGTCCTAAGAAGAACCAAGCTAGCTGAAGTCAAAAGGCTGAAACTTGACGGTCCCTACCTCTTTCGCGGGCCCCACTGCCACGTGGCGGCTCGCGATTGGTTACTTTCTGTTTTTTTTTTTCAAAAAGAAAAAAAAATGGGACAAATACCTGTCCCATGGATGCCCATGCCCTAAGGGCATCTTTAACGCTATATACTCTCGGGCCTTATGGCAATAAACAAAGCCCAGATAATCAAAATAGTGCATTCGTAAGGTCCATTTGGTTTTTGCCTAAGAAGTTTTGATAGAGGAGTCTTATGCCACGTGTTTTGTTGTAATAGGGTTTTTATTTTTTCTTTTTGAAAAGATTAATGTTTTGTAAAAAAAAATCAAAACCCCCAAATTCTTCTTCTCTTGAACCCTAGAGTCGCGATGCGACGAGAAACCCATCTTTTCGTCTTCCCGTCACGATCTAACCGTCTTCTTCGGCTCATTATGAAGTATTAGCGTTCTTTGTTGGTTATGGTGGTATAGTTTATTAGTCTATGTTGAATGTTCTTTACTTTTCCTAGAAACCAAGCAGCGTGGAGAAGATTATGGAAATTGATGACCATATTGGCTGTGCTATGAGCGGTTTAATTGTTGATGCGCGTACACTTGTTGAGCATGCGAGAGTTGAGACTCAAGTGAGGTTTCTGTATCTACGTTCTTTGATTTTAGCTTTGAAAGGCCTTCTATATGTGTTATTTGACTGTTTTTTTTGTTGTTGATGATGTACAGAACCATAGATTCTTGTATGGTGAGCCGATAACTGTAGAGTCCACTACACAAGCGTTATGTGACCTTGCTTTACGGTTTGGTGAAGGAGATGAAGAATCAATGGTAATAATCGGAATTGGAATCTCTAGTTGCTCTAATATCTCTCAGCTTAAGCTTTAGGATTGAATGAAATCATTGATTACTATAACTAACCGTGAAATTACAAAATGGCTAGTTTAGTCGTTAGTTGATATATATAATAACTTGGGAGAGGAGTACTGATTTTCTTTTTTATCAATTTTACTAGTGTAACGCCCGTGTTCGAAAATGGGTGGTGTCGATCAACACCAAGGGAGGGTGTCGCTCAACACCAACATTTTTCGGTTTGATTTGTTCGATTTAATTGTGTTTTGTTCGGGTTTGGTTTGGATTTAACCCTAAGTTGCGCTTTAAAAGAGAAAAGGTTGTCCTTGTTCTCATTCAAGCGGCTTTTAGAAGTTGAGAAAAGAGCAGAGAGTGTGAGTTGATCCTTTGGTGCCTTTGTGTGAGTTTTTGGAGAGGTTGAAGCTTGTTCTTGGTGGTTCAAGGCTAGAGGAGGTCAGGTCCGTGGTGTTTGGTGTCTGTCTCCTTTTATCTCTCTACTCGTCTCTTAGTTTCCTTAGATTATGTATCCGAATCTCTCCTCTGATCAATTACGTTTTTGATTTTATAGCATGAAAACATTGCTTCGTGGATAACAGTAACACACCAGCCACCTCGACACTACCACCATATGAAGAGAAAGGGAAATGCCATATTGGTATAAAGAGAAAGGGATATATTTCAGGAGGATGGGATTTGCTTTTTACTCGCCTTAAAATGTTATCTTATGTATTTTCTCATGTGTTAATCTCTCTTACTTTTTTTACTGAAATTTTAAACAATAATTTTACACCTAATTTTGAAGTAGATGATGACCATCATCATCTACTTTATATATCCACACACTAAGGTTCGAAACTAAACCTTAAACCCTATACCCTATATTCTAAATCTTACACACAAAAACCAAATAGTTTAAACACTAAAATCTAAACATAAATAATGAATCTCATACTTTCACCTTTATACAATTAAATTTAACTTTAAAACCAAATCCATAAATCATACATTACATCCTAAACCCTAAACTCTAATTCATAAACTTGAAGTTCAATACTATTATCAATCGTATAGCTTCCTATGGACTCGAAACTAAACCCTAAATCCTCTACCTTGAAACCTAAATCTTATACCCTAAACCCTAAACTTTAGTTTTAGGGTTTAGGGTTTATTTTTTATTTTTTTAGTTTAGCTTCAAGTCCATAGTAAGCTATTGAATCAATAAGAGTGATGAATTTCATGTTAGTATAAGGAGAAAATACTTCATGAGGATGGGATTTGCTTTTCACTCATCTTAAGATGTTTACATTATGTATTTTCTCATGTGCTAATCTCTCTTACTTGTTTTACGTAAAATTTAAACCATAATATTGAATCCATGATAAGCCATCCATAGTAAAAAAAATAATGCATGATCACCGTCTGCTCGTTTCACCTAGACACCTTAACCACATATATCCATGTGGTTACTATAGCATGCATATGTTGGGATATTCGTTAAAATGTTTAGAGGGTAAGGATGTAATGTATGATTATGCTTTTGGTTTTAGAGTTAAATTTAGCTGGACGCTTAAGGTTTTAGATTCCTGGTTCATGTTTAGAGTTTAGTGTTTAAGGTTAGATTTTAGGCTTTGGTTTAGGGATTAGACTTTAAGGTTTAATGTATATGGTTTAGGGTTTATGACTTATTTATCAAACCACAAATTCTTTGATAAAATAGATTTTGATAATTTTTTTTATGTTTAAACACAAGTAAGTATTTATAACCATAATGCAATTGATCATCCATGTATCAGTGAACAAATATTCAACTACATATGTATAATGTATAATAAAAAAAATAATCAAAAATATATCAATATGCATCTTAAAATGTAAAGAAAACATAATCATAAGTTATTGTGTAAAAATAAATAGATAATTTTTGATAATAAACACCTAAAGTGAGGTCTTTGTTTCTAGGTTCTTTGCTTTTAGCTTCGAAAGACCTTCTATATGTGTTATTTGACTGGTTCTTTTGTTGTTGTTGATGTACAAAACCATAGATTCTCGTATGGTGAGCCGATAATTGTAAAGTCCACTACACAAGCGTTATGTGACCTTGCTTTATGGTTTGGTAAAGGAGATGAAGAATCAATGGTAATAATCGAAATTGGAATCTCTAGTTGCTCTAATATCTCTCAGCTTAAGCTTTAGGATTGAATGAAATCATTGATTACCGTAACTAACCGTGATATTACGAAATGGCTAGTTTAGTTGTTTGTTGATAGATATACTCACTTGGGAGAGGAGTACTGATTTTCTTTTTTCATCAATGTTACTACTGTAACGCTCGTGTTCAAAAATGGGTGGTGTTGATCAACACCAAGGGAGGGTATCGCTCTTCACCAACAATTTTTAGTTTGATCTATTCGATTTAATTGCGTTTTGTTCGGGCTTGGTTTGGATTCAACCCTAAGTTGCGCTTTAAAAGAGAAAGGGCGTCCTTGTTCTCATTCCACCCGCTTTTAGAAGTTGAGAAAAGAGCAGAGAGTGTGAGTTGATCCTTTGGTGCCTTTGTGTGAGTTTTTGGAGAGGTTGAAGCTTGTTCTTGGTGGTTCAAGGCTAGAGGAGGTTAGGTCCATGGTGTTTGGTGTATGTGGAGGTTGTTTCACCCTTGCTAGTCCCTGTTTGTTGCTGTTCTTTCTTATTTAAGAGGTGAGTGAAAGACCTAGGCTTATCTGAGCTATTTGATACACATTTTTGGTGATTTCTATGATTATTGATTGATTTCCCTTGGTTGTATGCGTGTTTCTTGTGATAGTACCTTTGAACGAGCCTTATAGAGTGGTTAGACGGCCTTGGAAGGCTTGGAAAAGGCGGTTCCCTTGATGAGAAGCAGCTAGAGTGATGTTAGGGCATCAGTGTCACTCGACACCAGTGGTGGGTGTCGATCGACACCAATTTTCTTTTTTTGCGAGGATGGTCGCGAGTGTCGAGCGACACCAGCGGATGGTGTCGATCGACACTACTCGTCTGATCAGATTGTGTGGTTATTGTTATGGTCTATTATGATTATTAAATGTTGCTTGAATGTGAATTATGCAGCTTGTGTGTAGAGCATGTTGTGGGGATGAATGCCTCACTAAGTATTTATGAAATACTTATGCATCTCTTTTCTGTGATGCAGGTAAAGGAAAAGTGTGATCCGTGGAATCATATCGAGGAGAGGAAGTTGATCTAGGCGCTCATTGGTGTTTTAGATTATTGTATGAATTGTTAGGGTGTTAGAACAGAATTTAGAAGCATGTTAGGATGTTTATGTTTCTGGAATAATGTTTTGTTGAACTTGCTGGTTTAATGGAATAATTTTAATGGAGTTCTGGTTAAGTCTTCTGCTGGTTATGTTTTGTTCGGTTTAATTGGTTTGAATTGATTAAGGCTGGTTTAGCTGGTTTACAATTAATTGGGTTAATCTGGTCTGCATGTTTAAAAAAAAAAACAAACAGGATGGGTTCTTTCAGCTACAGTGTTGGCCATTTGGAGTATCACTTCTCATTGCTGGTCATGATGAAAACGGACCGAGTTTGTAAGTTTTATAGCTTTCTTCGACTGATATTATTCACTTGTGTGTTGTGAGAGATGTTGATTGATCTTATTGTAAATGACTCCGTATTGTTACAGGTACTACACAGATCCTTCAGGAACATTATGGCAGTGCAATGCAAAAGCCATTGGTTTAGGCTCAGAAGGAACCGACAGTTCTCTCCAAGAGCAATTCAACAAAGTAACTTGAACTATTCCAGTTGTTTCTTAGTCAGTCATTTGATTGCATTACTAACTTTTCCATTAAAACCTTAAGTTTGTAACGCCCTGACCGCCATCTCTCCAGTGGGCCCCATGTTCACCACCAGCCCATGAGCCCACCTCTCTTAATGGGCCTCACGTCCTCTCACTAGGCACATGAGCCCATTAATATCCGACGGTCAGTTTGCTACGTTTAGGAGACTTAAATACTTGTTTACCGATCCTACAAATCACCACATGATCTTTCCCTGTGTTTTGGCCTCACTCACGCAATTCTGACAACCACTTCCCGGAAGGCTACTCAAGGCACCACCACGCCTCCCTACCGCGACCACGTCCATAAAAGGCTAAGAACACAAGAGAAGACAAAACACCACACAAACAAGTTAGCATGAAATCTCATTGAAGGCTCGAGAGAATGATCTAGAACTCCATGCCCACACAATTGATTAACTACTCACAATAACCTAAGCATGCAACCGTTCACACATCAATATCCATACAATGAAATTCACATATTAATCGTAACTACCCCTTTAACCCAGCCCTAGAATCGTAAGAGCTCTAATACTATAATACAAAAAACATAACCTTTTTTTTAAATAGACAATTAACCGGTTTAATCCAATTTTAAACCAATTATCCATATTACACCAGTTAACTACATTAAACCAAATTAAACCATATAAACCAATAATTAACCAACGGAAGACCCAACAAGACAATCCAAACAAACCAATAACATTAAACCAGCAAACCACCAATTATCCCAAAAAATCCAACAATCCAAACATGCTACTAACAACCTAACAATTTCATAACAAGACCATTAAACAACCAGTGATTCCCTTGATCATCCTTCTCGCTGCCTTAAATTCAACGGTCACACTTTGCTTTTACCTGCATAGCACAAGAGATGCATAAGTATTGCCAGAAATACTTAGTGAGGCAGTCATCCCAACAACTGGGATATAAATTACATTTAGATAAATCTGTCAACACAACCATCAAACAAATCACAAACTCAGCCGCTGCTGAAGATTGGTGTCGGTCGATACTTGCACATAGAAACCCGAAAGGACGAGTATTGTCGATCGTCACTCGGAATTATCCTTACGACACAGTTCTTTGGTGTCGATCGTCACTTGCCACTCGTGTTGATCGACACCAATGGCCAAACATCGCTCCAGTTACTTTTCCTTAACGGAACTCCATTTCCTTGCACACCAGGGACGATAAAGACTCTCCTAGGAGTCGTAAAGAGACACCAATACATAGATAAAATCAAACAAGTAAACAAACAATCATTAAATCACCCAAAAAATGATCAAACCGCTTAGATAAGCTTTGGTCATGCACCCACCATTTGATTGAGATAAATGCGGATGAAAATAAGAATAGCTAAGTCAGTACATAACTCTTCTAACACCAACAGCCACGAATCCCCCTCTTAACCAAGATAGATCACTCAAGCACAAGCCACAAAACTCCAAAAACCCAAGAAAAACTTCATAGGAAACTTTCACTGTTTTGGATGAAGGCAAAAAACGGCTTAAGAACACTTAGGGTCAAGTTTAACCTTTTAAACACGAGCCGTAGGGTTTAACCAAACCAACAAAACCAATTTTGTAATCAAAACAAACAAAAACGAACTGAAAACTTATGGTATCGACCGACACCCTGACCAAACCGGTTCATGGGTGTTACATGTATTTTTGGAAAAAAAAAAAATATGCTTTTGGAGGAAAATTATTAATTCTAAAAAATAATTATAAATTAATTTAATAAGAAATATTTAACTTTATTTTATTATATATGAAGAAGCCAAAACATTAGTTTTAAAAAACATAAGGGGTAATGTTCTAGTAATTTTACACATTTGTAATCTATATCAGTAATATAAGTGCTTTTAGGGTTTTTTTTTTAAAATGAGTGCTTAATTAACTGAAAACAAAAAATAAGGAGGTCATAATCCAAAAATTAGTTCTCTCACCTGCAGTCACATGAAATTACGTTTATGTCACTCACTTGATTTAGCAAAAAAAAAAAAAAAGGTAAGATATGTACGTAACACTGTTCATCCATGATTAATAGAATTTGGTAATTTATTTTTAAATATGTTAAATAATATGTTATCGCGACATCTGACATATTATCGGTTAAAATAATACTAATACTATTCATCCGTGACTGATCGAATGGGAAAAAGCCTACAAAAAAGAGCCATCTATTTTTTATTTGGACGTTTAATACCACATTTTTTGTTAGAATAAAAACACCTCATTTATTTTATATTGTCATAAAAAATCTTTGTATATATAATGATACGTGAATTCGTACCAACGAATTAACAGTCGTCAACGGCGTTACAAAACTATGTAACGGTGTTAAATTTTAACTTCGCTTCTAAACGTCCAAATAACATTGTTCATCATGATTAATAGCATTTAATAACTTATTTTTAAACATGTTAAATAATATGTTATCGCAGTAAATTATCTATTATCGGTTAAATTATTATTTATTGCTATAAAATTGAAAATTAATATTTTCTGTCATTGTATATCAAAAACTGTTTCTTTCGCCTTCAACTACTCTGTTTGGAATCACAATTTATTAGTCTTGGGCGTTCGGTAGAAACAAAGAAAAAACAGATTTTTCGGTTTTCGGTTTAAACTGAATTCTCAGGCGTTCCAGCCGCCATCACCGTTCCAGCCGTTTGCTCTCCATGAGGAATGTGTCGCAAACCCTACTAGTTAATGGGCTGGGCCATTCATTTTGTTGTTGTAATTTTTTAAGTGGGCTTCTAATTAGTTTGAAATTATATCTTATTTTCTTTGAGCCCATTAACTTTTTTTTTTGGTCAAAGAGCCCATTAACTTCATTTTTTGAATTTCTGTTTGTATTAACAGAAATACAAAGAACTTCGGTTAACTTCTGAATCAATTTAAAACTTTATAACCGAACCGATTAAACCGAGTACCGAATAACCTGAACCGAACTTTTATTTGGTTTAATTCGGTGGGATTTTTAGATAACTGAAATTTTGAAAACCCAAATAACCCGAACCGATTAAACCGACCAAACCAAATGCCGTGAGCTAAAATTTATCACCAAAGGTAATTTATTAACAGGGATGTATGTGAATATTTATTTGATTGACAATGTAAAATATTTTATATCGCGATAAGCTACAAGTTTATTATGTTAAATCATGTAGTATATATCATATATAAATAATCCCCTATATAGTAAAAGAGGAGTACACTTTTTTTTCAAAAAAAAAAAGAGTAAAATTACAAAAAAAACATACTCCTATCCTTCACTCTTCATTGTCATTAAGGGTAAACAGGTAAAAAAGCAATTTCGGATCGGGTCAATTTCTTAAATGTAACCCGAAATTGCAAACTGGATATTTCGAAAGTCATGTTAAATTTTCGGGTATTTAATTTCGATCCCATTGGATATTCTTTTGGGCCTTTCTACTTTCATTTCGGATATGAAGCTAGCCCATATCTTGTTTCATTCTATTAAAAAATAATTTAAAAAGATAAGTAGGCCTAGAGCGGCCCAGTTATTACAATATGGACTCGAAACATTAAATTCATACACATGCATTAAATTCATACACATGAATTCGTGTATTCATTATACGCACATGGCATCTTTGATTAGCATTTTTTTGTCAGCCATTTGATTTTATTTCACATGCCCAATATGCAAAGTAAATGAAGCTTAGTAATGCTTCTACAAATAAAAGGACCGACTCGACTCGAACTCTATGTCATCTGTTGAAAAAACAAAAAGTATACATATACATATATTTCCTATATCGTGATATACATTGTATGTTTTTATTTCATATAAAATTAAAATAGAAATTAAGATCTACTAATTTGTTACCGAACCATATATCTCATATCTGAGTTTTATTGATTGATAGTAATTTCATAATTGTAACAACTAAAACTAAAAAGATAGCATATACAAATTTAATATGAAATATTAAATTAGTAATAGAAATAAATAAACAAAAAAAACAAAAAGTATTTTCTCGCTTCGCTATGGAAAAAAAACTTTACTTTTTATACACTAATTTTTCAATTTTTTTTTGAAAAAGGCTTATTAATATTATTATTTTACATCAAAGAGTTTACTATTTAAAACTGAAAAATAAAAGAAAATACATAAGTCAACGAAGGCTTTATTGTTTGCTTGGCATTCAGGCAAAAATATAAGAGAACCCAGCCCGGTATAGTTTAATAGTTAATAGTCACGGTAGGAGAAAAATATATTTTAATGTGTTAGTAAAACGTTTTTGTTCAAGATCGAACACGGGTTGATAGGTACCCACTTTACAATGGGTGAATGCGAGGATAATAGCTAGACGGGTCGGATCATTTTATTTTTTTGTCCAAAAGTGATGTAAATTACCCTTCTCAATTTACAAAAGTATTTTCCTTCCAAACTAATTAAGGGTAATTTTTTGAAGGGGGAATTTCAAAAAAACCCCCTTTCATATACCTCTTTTTAAAAATACCCTCTTTTCAAACATTATCAAAAAACCCACTAAAAATGTTAAAATTTATCCAAATATGTGTATAAGTTTATAAATATATACACAAATTATCTTTATATGTGTATAAAACTTTATATACCTTTCATAAATAGCGTAAAAATAAATTATAAAAACCTTATAAAAACCTTATAAAAACCGTATAAACCCTTTTAAAAACCTTTTAAAAACCTTATAAAACTTATAAAACGATTTAAAACTATTTAAAACATTCTAAAATATTCGTATCGAATCTCCCAGTAGTAGTTATTATATAGAAGTACCTTATAAACTATATAAAACTTTATAATTTTTTATATTTAAAAAGGGGTATTTTTGAAAATGGATAGATAAAATGGGTATTTTTAGAAAGGGGTACACCAAAAGGGGTATTTCTCAAAAATTCTCTTTTTTGAATTGAAACAACTTATAGCAATGATTAAATGTGTGCTTCTTTTTTAGTTCGGTAATCACTTAGATTTGTTTCAAGTAAGTTAGATTGTGCAACAAGTCTCAAACTCCTATTCAGGCTTCTTAAATGTCCAACTTCTGACCAAGATTTGAGGTCCTACAATGGTGAGTTCTATAATTCCTACAAGGAAGTATGTTTCGCTAGAGGGTTTTTTGAATATTAATTTTTTTAGGAACAATGTTTTTTAGCCATTTTCATTTCACTTTTTATAATTCCATATTTCTCAATTACCAGTAATATATTTGATTATTTCTAAACTTTCATCGAATAAGATTTTGAGTTATGGCTAATTTCTCTCTAATTGAATAATATTAAGTTCTACCAAAATTACAAAACTGATTGTATGTTAATAGAGGGAACTAACCTCATGTTTCCCGTCGATGCAAAGATTTGATAAAATCGTTCCTTCCTTTACTTATTGTGTTAGTAGCAACCAAGGTCATGTAGTCACCTAAAATCGGAAAAAATAATAACGGATCTAATAATAAACTCCACAAAAAACCATCTACAATATACTCATTTGAAGTTTACTCAAGAGTAGACATTAAAACTTATCTTGGCATAGATATGTGATTATCAGTTATTGTCTTATGCTCTTCCAAAATTTGTATGAAAACCAAAGTAAAATAAAAATCTGTTGTAAGTCTCTCATATCAAATATACACTTACACCTTTCAACTGTTTGGCTTTTAAGTTGCAGAACAATCGGTAAGAGTAATTTTAGCTTAGATTTTTATATTGGTTTTAACCTCAAATCATAATTGTAAGCAAGCTGAATCAAAACCCAACTATAAGCGGTAACATTAGTTTACAATTTAATAGCCCACGTACAAGTTTAGATGTTTCTTCTAATATATTTGGATAGTGACGAATTTGCTAGGTTGTACTAATTAATACACAAACTTAGAAACCATGAATTAATTTCCTAAATCAAACTAAAAAAGAATATGATAAAAAAATTAAATATAATAATATAGGAAGTCTTTGATTTTATTTGGTTATAAGAAAATGTGTTAACTTTAAAACACTAAAATATAGTGGAGGTAAAGTAAATGTGATTTTTATTTAATATATGCTTTGCAAACACCAAATTAACACAAACCATTTGTATTTCCTACTATTTAGCAAATACCGAAAACCCCAAATAATACACGCGCTTACGAAACAGTATTTGTTATTTAACAAAATCAACCTCAGACATTTCCCCCGCGCTGTAGCGCGGGTCAAAATCTAGTTGAGCTGTATAAAAAATGTAATAATATACTAACACGGAATACAAGGTTAAAATTGTTCAAAAAAAGTATAACTAATTATGAAAAATATATTAACATATAATTAATAAAAACTTTATTTCGGTGTAATTTTCCATGCTTTTATAAGTTCATATAGTAAATTATCTATTATTTTTTACTTATTTTCAGAGTTGTTTAGTTTCAGTCGTATCTACCTTATTGCATCGTGCCCATAATGCAACAGTTATGGTTTTGTGAAGGAAAACCATGGCAAAGCCTTTTTGACTTTCAGAGAACGTATAGTATGTTCGAAAGTATCTAAATGGATAATGGTGAAAGCATAGCTACGCATGCATGTACAGAAGAACACCTTTACTCTTTACTCTTTTCTTTTTCTTCTTATAACTATCACAATTAATAAATAAACCCTTTTTAGAAAAAACAAAGTTCAATAAACAAATTTGTGGCCTTGGGTAAATTGATTAAAGTCATAAAATTCAGATGTATCATTACAAGTCTTTCTTTTTGGCTATGTCACTTTTGCTTTTTTGCCCTAAAAGGAGTGGGAAATATATAATTTAATAAGTTTCCCATCATTAGTTTTGAAACAAACTAATGATGGGAAACTTAGTTTTCAGGATGAATCATAATTGTCTCCATATACAAAATCTGCGGTCGTGATTCTAGTGAGTGAAATCATTATTGTATACATAATTACATATTATAAACAACAGTGCGCATCACATTATTCATTTTCATAATTACATATTATAAACAACAGTGCCCATCACATTATTCATTTCAAAATCTACACTATGTGAAATGTATAAATGAACTTCATTTAGTAATTTTAAATTACATTTGTATAATATACGATGTATATATTTTGACAACTAAGTCCAATTAGAAGATACGAATCGTAGTGCTAATCTAAGTATTACGTACATAAGATAATATTAATTATTAAGTAAATATAATATTAGTAAAGTTCTGTCATATATTAATTAGGGAGACATTTTGGGCCGTAAATTTAATTGTAGATTTTATATATATATAATTATAATAAGAATGTAATGTAGATGTTAAACAACTTTTAGTAATTGAATCGTTTAACATATTTTAAATATGTATTATATTCAATATTTGATAATAGGGTAAAATGGTTAAGACGTTTATTATTGTTAATTCAACACATACTATTAATTAAATTCGAATAGTCAAATGTTTATATAGAAAAATGTTTAAATTAATATAAAAATGACACAAATATTCTATTTATGAAATTAATGTTCAAGTGCTTTTAAAAATAACAAATCTAGATTAATATATGAAACGTTGTTGAATTTTAAGAACAAAAAAAAAAAGTCAATGAGGCATTTCAATCAACTTGGTATCCATATTTTTGTTTAAATTAATATATAGAAGATTTTCTGTAAATTTCAATTTACAAAATCATAACTATTTTTCAACAGGATTCAAGTGTTGCATCAGAATATTTTGGTAGAAATGAGTTTCTATTTTTCTGTATTGAACTATATCAATGTTTAAAAATTTCTAAAATGAATACGCAAACTAATAATCACATGACAATCAAGTAGAGATGACCTATCTTTTTCACCTAATCATTTACATATTCAATCCCACAATAAACCGCATGGAACTCAAAATAATATGAAACTAGTCTACACGTCCACTACGACTACGATCGAGTACTAGTAAATAAAACCATATCATTGAAAAGAAAGAAAACAAAATAAAAATATTCTCCCTTTGATATATCCTAATGTTAAAAATAATCAAAATGATTAGACATATGGTAAGGCTCATCTCTTTCCTTCCTAGTCATCATTAACCTCGGTGGCAGATAATAATTAACGCTGCGATTATCACCTTTACTCTTATGACTAGTCGTCTCTTCTTTTGGAACCCAAGGTGGCTTTATTGATCTTATCAGTGCCCAATTTACACCTTCGAAGAACTCATGTCTTTTGATCTCTATAGAGCCTTTGAGGCTCCCTAACCTCTTCTTAGGGTTCTTCACTAGTAGTTTTATTATAAGATCTTGAGCGTTCACCATATCTTCGTACTCTTTGGGGCTATTCACAACAACCTTTGGGAATGTCAAGGGTGTTTTCAGAATGTTTACTAATGTTTTCTCGTTGTTCTCTCCTTTAAACGGTGTCGTACCAAATATCATCTCGTACAGAAATATTCCGTATGTCCACCAATCTACTGCACTCCCATGTCCTTGCCCTAACAAACACAACAAGATTAACTAGTTAGCAAAATGGAACTTGTGTTTGGCTTAAACACTCCAATGTCATTGTCCTAACAAACACAACAAGACTAACTAGCTAACAAAATAGAACTTTGTGCTTAGCTTAAATAAGTTAAAGTCTTGGCCTAACAAATACATGTACTTTTTCAAAGTTTTTACAAACAAATTCGGTATATGTTAACTTCAAATCAATGATTATATATTCACTTAAATAATTCAAAGTTTATGTCAAAATAAAAATAGTAGTAATATTTTTTTAATAATAGTAATAATTTTAAGTAAGAAAAATACCTGATATTACTTCGGGAGCCAAGTACTCATGTGTTCCAACGAACGACTTAGAGCGAGCATTGATTGGTTCGGCGAAAATTGATGGACATCCACCAGAGATGTCTCGAAGTCCATTAGAAACACGAGAAGAAGAAGAAGGTGATCGAGAGAACGTTCTTGAAACATCATTGCGTTTCACAGTATCACTAGTACTAGCTGCGTTCTCATGTATTGTTGTTGTAATAACATTCTTCTTTCTTCTTCTTCTACTCGAAGTAGGAGTGAAGCAGGAGATGACCGGGTTTAAAGGCGTTGAGGTGCAAGATGGTGTTGAGCATTTGTGGCGGATGCTCACCTCGTCATCATCTTCTTGATGGCCACGGTCGTTGTCGTTGAGGAGTTGTGGAACGACGTCGCATTTGAAGGAGAGATCGAAATCTGAGAGCATTACATGACCATCTTGTCTGATTAACACATTCTCTGGCTTTAGGTCTCTATACACAATTCCCATCATGTGGAGATACTCTAAGGCCACCAGAGTTTCTGCTGCGTAAAACCTGTATAAATCTTAATTTATTAAGTACTTTCGTAATTAGTTATTAGATATGCTGTGTTAAGCTATGTAAACCTATAACTATCAGTAATTTTTACTAGTAGAATTTAAGATTGGTTTATGTATTTTTGGTTTTAGTGTGTTTTTTGTTTATATTTGTAGGTGAAGATTTCAATCTTGAGCCTAAGTTTAAGTCATGGATGTGGATATAAGAAAGCCAACATTAAATGTAAATCGTTGAACCAAACACTTAACACATGAACATAATAAAATTCAAATCTTCCAAATACATATTATATATATTTTTAGAAAATTTCATAAAATATGTTAACAAGCACAGAAACAATACAACTAGTAATTAGTTTAGTATAACGTAGTTTGAAGTAAAACCAAAACATAGTTATGTCCAAAACAAAACTTTTTATAGAAAAGATGAGTTTATATATAGTATTATAATTACTATTTATAAAAAGCTATGGTTCACATTCAAAACAGCACACTAACTACAAAAGCAAACACACAAATTAAAATAGTTAATAACAATGAGATTGATTAATCATGCATATGGTTTAAAGAATGAGAAGGGGACCTTGTGGAGGAGATAGTGAAACGTTTAGATGGTTGCCGGAGGCGGGCGGCGTATAGATCACCGCCGGGACAATACTCCATGACTAGAAAAGAGTAATGAGAAGCCTCAAAAGCTGCATACAAAGTAGGGCAAAAAGGATGATCAAGCATCCCTAGAATCTTCTTCTCCATCTCTGCCCTTCCAAGCTTCTTCTTCATTGCCACAGCTTCTTTATCAACAACCTTCATGGCATAAAACGCTGTGTCCGGACTCCCACGTATTTGGCAAAGGTAAACACTTCCGATGTCACCACTTCCCAACCTCTTTAAAAGCCGAAAATGCTCTAACCCTACTGCACGGCCGCAGCATCGACGTAGCCTGGCCATAGCTTCCCATGCGACTTGGTTGGCTTTGTGAGGCTTTGATTGGTTGTAGCTGTTTAAGCCATGGTTACTTAGATGAGATATTGAACTACAACTAGGGCTAGCCGTGAAAGAGCTGCTTAGCCAACTCGTGCGGCGGCTTGAGTCAGGTCCGGCGGTGGAGCTCTCATAATCCGACTCATTATCTTTGTAAAATATACTAGAGTTTGCCATTAGATAAGTTTCATGGGGAAGACAATAACTGTCTTGTCTTCACTATTTATCCACAAAAATTTCTTTTTCACTTTTGTCTTTTATTTTATACATATTTTTTTTATTTTCGTTTTTTTGTAGTAAAGTTAAAACCATGCGTGAAGATAAACAATATAGATCCAAGTGCGCGGATACAAACATAAAGGAGAATTGATGAGATGCACATGTCAGGCATGCTTCACCAAGCTGACACCACCACTATCCTTTGTTTTCTCTAAAGTTAAATACTTAAATGTTTGAACAATAAAATCCTATGCCAGCTTTACCTTTAGGTATCAGAATATCCCGGTGACCCGAAGATGGCGAGTCCTATAGCTTAAAAAATCTCAATTTATATTATTAAATGAGTAGTCTAAAGTGCTCACATTCAATCTCACAAAAATATTACTAAGTTATCCTTAATGAAAAATACTCCTAATTGTAATCTTTACCTTAATCCTTAATTAATTAAAACAAAAAAATTAAAATCGGCTCTTTACAAAACAAAATCGAAAATTTAGGTAAGACCGGGTTACTGTTTTACCCTTAATGAAAAAATACCCCTAACTTAAAAGTTTATAAAAGTTTAAGTTAGATCTTAGTTAATCTAAACCTAACAATAAAAATTGGAAATTTGTAACCCAAAATCGAAATCCTGTAGCTAAAGCCGAAAAAGTCTAAATTTAGGGTTTAGAGGAAATAGGCTTACGTAAAAAAGTTCGTTAACAAAAAACACGTCCTAAGTTGAAACCTTAAAAAAACACTTCTATAAATACTAGGGTTTCTATGCTATCCCCATAACTAAAAAAAAAGTAGATCTTTAGTTTTTTTGTTATGTTCGTACAATTATTCTTTCATACTGAACTTTTTTCTTCCTTTTATTCATCATCCTCAAATTTCTGTTTTCCTGTTCGTATAGTGGTTGTTTGGAAGGTAATGTCAAAGAATACCGCACCTTTGTCTATGGTTACATCACCTTTTTGGTTTAGGTATTTACCTTTGTCTATGGTTACATCACCTTTTGGTTTATGTATTTTATTCTTTGTTTAAATTTAAGATTTATTATTCATAAATTTTTTTTATTTAGTTGTTATATTGGTTGTTTTGTTGTAGACGATGTTAGAGAAGACGTTACATTGCTATCTACAAATTCAAGATCTAAATTGCAAAGTTGGATGGAAAGCAATTCGATAGATGGTGATCCAAGGAAGTACAAATATGAAGAATTTTCAAGAGAATTTGTTTGGTGTACTCAACATAATCAGTGGAAGCAAAGATCCCAAAAAAAGGAGAAAACAACTATAATTCATTCGGATTTGATGATCCTTATAATTGTATTTTAATGCTTTATGATGCATATTCAACTTTTCGAAAAAATAATGTTTAGCTGTTTTTTACCCATTAACGTCTAAAATTTTAAGTTCAATAAAATTCGTTTTTTACAATCCTTCTTAGATTAAATCTGAAGCATAGACATCATCAGCTAACCCTATATTCAAATATTTAATATTACTCGCTAAAGAAATTTGCGTCGATTAATTTCTTTATCATAATTTCGCTGAATAATAATTTCATATTATAAAATTAAAAATTAACTATATTTTATATTATAATTCCGCTATATTACAACTAAATCTGCTATATTACAGCTAATTAAGTTTAATTTAATAAGAAAGAGTTTTAGGGTTTATATTTAGTACATAAAACAAAATAAACCAGAATAAAAAACGATATATACATATTATTATTGAATTTTTATAAAAAGACGATATTACTGAATTATTTATATAAAATCGTTGTCTAATAACGTTGAACAAACTATTTTACTAATCTTGATTATATCTTCTAGATAGACAATTAGTTCGTAGCTTAATAATTAAACATTGGTTTAAAACTATGAAAATTTGACGATGGAATATAAATATTAAGGGTTAGTTTACTAAATATGATAAGGATAAAGATAGATATCTTGATTAGCCTACATAAGTTTATCCTCTGAAATAAAAAAAATATTTATATATTAATTCTATACATCCAAGTTTGAAAATATATTCAAATCCGATATATATAAGAAATTTATATGTATATAACAATTTAAAACGATAAACATGTTAGTAATTGGTGGCTCAATATAGGAAATTTCACAATAATACGTATTACATATACTATAGATTTTCTTCTTTATTCATACTCAGTTTGAAATTATCTTCATCGTTTTTAAAGAGTTTAAACCAAGGTAAATATAAATTTTACATATTGATAATGATAAATATAGGAAGACAGATTAAAAAAAATAAAAGATTTATATAAGTTAAAGATAAATGTCCATATTAATAAAGGACATAATTTATAACAATAATTATACATAAATTTAACGAGTATGTGTGTATATATATTTGGCCATTCATTGTCTAAACTTTCAAATCTCGGACGATTTACTAGGATTAGGTTTTATTTCATTACTCAATTTTTTAATAAAAACAATTTCTGATCATAGTTTCAATAGCTATACTAATATGTTTTCTATGGTTATTCAGGTTTCATTATGGTGAAGAACCATCCTGTTGATGGTGTGTCACGTTTGAATCCTTCGAAATATGATTGGAAAATTCAGGTGAAAGTGTTATACTATAATCTTTCTTAACCAGTATATACACTTTTATAGGGTGAGAAGGTTCATTGTTCCTTCCGTGGTATTCTTTATGATAGATATATTTCCAAGTATGCTGTTGGTGATTGGCTTGAAATCGAGAATTTCAAAGTTGTGGATCAATATGGGTCTTGCAAAACTACTACTCATCGATACAAAGTTATTATTTTGTGTCAAACCATGATTAAGAAGGCCATGATTGTTGGAGGTGGAGAGTATTTTGATTTTATCGATTATAAAAATATATTGGATGTTCTTATTGTGATGATTACTTGGTCGGTACTCAAACATTGTGTTTAGGGTTTACAAAAAATATAATTTCCTTATATTTCCTAAATTAGTTTTCATTAGGATTTGTATTCATACTGATTATTTTCATTTATTATAGATGTCATTGGAGAGGTTATACACGTGGGAAAGTTTGATAATTGGGACCATGTAGACAGCGACGATGAGCAGAAGGATCGCGTTCAAGTTGTGTCTAAATCAAGTTCCGTTTATGTTCGTCATCTCTTTAAGTTTATTTGCCGAGATGAACTGCCCAACAAGGGATACACTTGCAACGTCCGTCGTCTTTATGATTCTTAGGTCGAAGATTCTTACGACGATAGTTTGTGCAATGATGATATTGACGACGAAGGAGATGCAATGGATGAAGACTATGAGCAAGAGGAAGAAGAAGAGGATGAAGAAGATGCAGGTTTTTATGATATAATGGATACGGAAAAGGATGAATATATGAGTAATGGATACGGCGATGTTGATAATAGTGAAGAAGAAGAACATGAAAGCGATGAATCGGAGGCTGAAACTGATGGCTATGATGATGGTGATAGCGAGGAAGATGATACTGGTTATAATGATACACAAGATGGAACAGATGGAGGGGAGGAATATGATGCAAGTGAATCTAATGAAGATGACGACCAAGAAGAAGAGGATGTTTGTAATCAAAATATGGACGAAGAGGTCGATGATAAAAAGGAATATTCTATACATAATAATATTTGTTTTGATCTTCGAAACACTAGGTATTTGATTCTAACTATGCAAGCGTTTACTATAGTTCATTTTCATTATAAGTATATTTGTTATGGTTATATATACCTAATGTTAATTTTTTATCTTGCTAATATAGTGGAGTCATTTTACGATATGAGTTGACTGGATCATTGGCCGTTAACTTCTTTAAGGCCTACAAAGCTTTACAGCACCTAAAGTCTGATTTGTGTGATTCGATGGGGAGTGATAGACATTTTCCAAGGTACATGTTCGTGAGATTATTCTTTACTTAACGTTTTTTTTATCTATGATAGCTTTGGTATATTTGTTATTAAATATATTTAAAATTGTTATTCTTATTATAGGAAAAAAAACTGTGTCTAACACCATTTGTACCCAAGTAAGACTCAATCCAAAGATTCCCGAGGTGGACAACTTCGTAGCAATGTAAGTTTATTTACATCTACAAAAATGATAGTTAACCTTTGTTATGTGACTGATATAGTTTTGTTTCATATCTTATTTTCTTAGGAATCCAAGGAGGTCTACCCGCATAAGTAGACGACGTCTATTATTAAGAGAATAGCTATATTTATTTTTTATTTTTCATGATTCAGATTGATTTTAATGTTAAGACTTCATGAATTCTCCTTATTATACTATATTATACGTCTTTTACATATCATGCTTTACGTTTTATATTAAATATAAAGTGGTCAATCTTTCAAACTCATTGATATAGTTCCTACCGGACAATGTAAGTGTTTCACGGCAAACAATAAATCTGGCAGTTCAGACTATTATTGTTTGTAAGGATAGGGTCTTAGAGAATCACATGCAGCATAGTAATTCGAGTGGGTGATTTTGGAGATTTCAAAATACATAGCTTTTGCATTATGGTTAGCATACAAATTAATCTGAGTCCCACAGCAATAAAACGAATCGAATATAGAATTGGATAAGTCCCGAATCGGTCGTTTCTGGCCGAGAAAAAAATAATGTTGGGTTCTCGATAAACTTTCGGAAAGTCCCATGTTGAGGCGAATGCTTTCCGATGGATTGTCCTTAATACCATCATAGAAAAGTTCTGAATGATATTAGCCGAAGAAATATCTCGGACGGCCGACGGTTATTGATAAGGCGGTAGTTGGACCACCCATCCGGACGAAGAAAAATAGGGGTCCTCGACAAAGTTTCGTAAAGTCCCGTACTGATGTGAGTATTTTAAGATAGATTCTCTTCAAAACCATTATAGAATAGTTCTAAATGCCGATGGTCAAAGAGATGTTTTGACCGGTCGAAGCTTATCGATCAGCCTGTAGCCAGACCATCCATCCGGACAAGAAAAACTTGGGGTCCTCGACAAATTTTCGGAAAGTCACGTACTAATGGGAATATTTTCTGATGGATTTTATTTAAAACTATCATAGAATAGTAATAAATGCCGATAGTCGAAGAAATGTGTCGACGCTCGAGGCTTATCGATAACCAGTTTGCCGTTCGACCTATCCGGACGAGTAAAACTTAGGGTCCTCAACCAAATTTCGGAGAGTCCCGTATTGATGTTAATGTTTTCCGATTACTTACATTCCTAACATTGACAATGTAAGACATTCACGATGAACAATAGATAAAAGAGTGTATATTGTATTGGAAAGAGTTTTACAAGTTCACATGCAACATAGTAAATTGAGGAATGACCTAGGAGTTTTGAAAATAGATATGGATAATTATAAAGACCTCTTATTTTTCCCGTGAATTGCCAACGGTAGCTTTTATCTGACGTATTTACATATCGCATTAAATCAATATATGGTTTCGAAGCCTTACCTTTAACTTTTCCTACTTCTGCAAACATGAGATTTATTTATATGAATGATAAATGAGGCGAGTTCACATGTTAAGGGTACATGCATAGGTCATTCGAACCAATGTCAGTTTAGACTGAGATTTTAGAGTTATTCAATAATGTTCTAATTTTGTCGACCGTTCATTTATTTATAAGTTAAAGAAAAGGTTGAAATAAAACAGCTCATAACACTACTGTTTTCATTATATATAATCACCATCGAGGAAGACGATTGAGCTAAACAAATATCATTCACAGTGGAAAGTTAAAAAATATAATTCTCTTAAGAAAATGGCAGGACAACATTCATTCGCTGATATCTCTACGAATTCGACTAACTGGAGTGTTTTTGTTAAGCTTTTGGCTGTCTGGAAGCCGAAGAATGATTCTGAAGGGAAGAGGAAGAGTATGATATTAGTAGATCAACAGGTGAATAACTTAGATATATTTTGCGTGTAACATTATTAGGCTAAGTATAATTATTGTCTAACGTCAAATGTTATATCGTTTTATAACACATGGTTGTCGGATTGATGCAACAATTCCATACATTCGATATGCATCACCGTTCCATAATCTCATTGTTGAGGGAAAGTGGTATCTACTTTCCAACTTTCAAGTTATGGAGAATAATCTACAAGTTAAAAATTCTCGCCATCACTTGACAATAAGGACAATCTATCAAACAACAATGCAAGAAGTGGAAGAGAAGTCTCGGAAGTCTTACTTCAACTTTATTACATGCACTCAACTTAACAATTCCGAAGTGGACGATAGAAGATATTGTTATGGTATGTATACTTATACTCTCTATATTCAATACATTTACATGTTTGGAATATTTCAAATTCAAAATTTCTAAAATATTTTCTTCTAAATTGGAAACAGATGCTAGCGGTATTGTCTCTAATGTTTCATAGCTTTGTGAAGTAACATTTATAGATGAGCAGAATGGCTACTCTAATACCGAAAGTGTAGTGACCTTCACCCTTACAGATGAAACGTAAGCATATTTTGAGTTGCCTATATATTTGGATTTACTAAAAAGTTCTCTTATATTAACATACACTTTAATCTTCATGATTAGAAAAAAAAAAATAACTTGTGTTGCGGTGAGAAAATCCGCCATAGAATTTGAAAACACGTGGGAGCAAGTTATTTATGAGTATGATGATGATGCCGAAAGTCCTATTATGTGTGTTTTATGTTTTTGGAGGATCTCTGTGTACGAATGTTAGTACTGATATTCTTACATTATTACAACTTTTTCTATAATTTTATTTCACATTGTGCGTGTATAATTGTGTATCAATACCAAAACTTAGCTACTCATTGTTCTATAATTTACATAGGTATTCCATCTCTCTTTTCTCAATATGGCTGTTCAAGAATTTTCCTTAATCACGAGTTCATGGAGATGAACATGGAGACACTGTTGTAAGTTTAACGTTTTGCGGTGCTTTTTCGTAACTTATTTTAAAACATGTAATAAGTAATTGCTATGTTTATAATTATTTTTCAATTTAAATGTACACAGGGGTGACTTCGGATTATTTCTTTTCATTCGTATCATTTAGTGATATCAAGAGTGGATATCTTGATCCTATTTACTGTGTTGGTATGTTTTAATTTATATTCATCTACTTTCTTATTCACAGTCAAATTCTAAATTATAAGACGCTTATGTATATATGTAGATATCATTGGACGAGTAATGGCTGTAGGGAATCGAAACCAACATGGTCCTCCTGACAACGACTGGAATGAGATATTCTTCGAGTTAGAAGATCTTGAGTATGTTAATTAATTATCTTATACATATTAATAATCGATTTTTTATTCTACCAATTCTAATTTTCTAAAATATAAATCAAGGGGTGATCAATTACCATGTCGTTTACCAAGATCATACGCGAACGATTTCTTTAATGCTTGGAGACATTCGGTTGACAATATCATTATTTGTGTAATGAGGTTTGCTAGACTCGAGATTAACCAAGGTTGTTTCTACCTCTAAATCTTTCCTTATGATACCTTTAACATATTGTATAACAACATTGGGATCTAAGCTGTGTACGTAACTAAATAACTAATGTAGAAACGTGGAGAGTTTCGACGGTGCATAATTGTACGAGCGTAATGATAAATCCATTATGTCCGCATGTGAGACAGATGAGAGATACCTTTGCTGATATTGAAGATGGAAAATTTTAAGTTTGATGGAGTTTATTTGATACTTTTACGTTTTTTTTTCTTTTGATATACTTCATAGAGGCTGAATTATTATTATTTTCTAAGTTTTCCTTAAGATTATATATATTTAATTTACTTAAATAGCTTGGTAAAATATTATTCAGCGTATGGTTAACTAAAATAACATCGTTGTCATTATATTAGGAAATCGTCCTTAAATCTTTGTAATCATGATCCCTTATCATATTTCAAAATAAATTTACCCATTTGTTTCCCGTGTTGTTAAAATACCAATAAAAGACATTATTAAGAAAAAGCATATTAATTAAGGTAAACATCAAATTTACCTCTTTTAAAGATGGCTCATAATAGACCCAAAAAAAAAAAGAAAAGAGGAATTATTCGCTTTAAAAAAAATGAAGATTAACATTTATAATATTTGTAGGAAATAATATTTAAATTTGAATGAAAGATAAATGTTAAATTTCTAAGTCCAATTTAATGAATTTAGAATCTTTACGTACTTATCATGGTCTAGAATTTACTCATAATTAAAACTAAGGAAATAATTCATTATTATCACAACTGATTGAATATTATCGTATAGACGATTATTTAACTATAAATACGCATACACATGTTCCTAAAGTTTACAGCTACTTTTCCATCATGGTCTCGAAAAAAAAAAAAAAATTATCCTTTTGTTCTTGCTAGCGAAATCAATCCTGCTAATGATCAATACAAGATCAAAGTGCGTGTTATGCGGATTTGGAAATCCTTCAAGACTCTAGAGATGGTACTAATTGATACAGAGGTGCGTTAGCCTCACATCTGTTTTAATTCTAATATTTGAATAAGTTATATCATACGTGTGTGATAAAATATATGATATATTGTATATGTATAGAACTTTTTTGTCTAATGTTTTCTTATGTATCAAAGGGAACAAGGATCCATGCATCTATTGAGGAGTCTTTGGTCAAAAAATTCCAGCACCAGTTTGCTGTTGGTGATTCGAAAATAATAGACACGTTCGGTTTAGTTGATTATGATGGTGATTACAGAACAAGTTCTTTAGGTTTTAAGATGCTGTTTTACAGAACTACTACGGTCAAGTCGTTTGATGATTTCCCAGCTCAAATTTCTGAAAAATATTTTCGTGAATTTTCTGATATCTTGGCCGGAAAAACAGATAGACATTTATTGATCGGTGAGTTGTAAGATTGGTAATGTATTGTTTTTAAGTAAATTATTTTCCAAATCGTATTAATGTTTTGTTGTTTATGTAGATGTAATTGGCCAGATTGTTAACGTCGACTCTCTTGAGAATATCAAAACTAAAGGGAAGGACATTGTGGAATTAAGTTTCGAATTGCAAGATCTAACGTATGGTTTTTGTTTGATTAAGAGTTTAAGTTTTAATATATTATAATATATTACAACAAAAAACTCACTATCCATTTAATAAAGAAAGAATTACTTAGATGGACTACATTTTAGGTGTATTGACGGAAACCATCCAAAACTTTTTTTTATCCTTAAATGTTTTTTAATTACCAGCGTGCCCTTTTTACACGTTACCGGAAAAAACTAATTACGAAAAATGCCACTGCCACGTCAGACAAAAAGGCGCGTGCCACCAATAACTCAGCCATAACGTACGTTACGGCTGAGTTATATCACGTTATGGCTGAGTTCTGGGACAACGGCTGAGTTTCGGGTCAACGGTTGACTTACGATCATAACTCAGCCAACAGTTACGACTGACTTATAAAAATCTGGTTGAGTTATGAGGAAACGGCTAATAACTCAGCCGCCGTTACGGCTGAGTTATAGTCCGATGGTTGAGTTATCAGAAGTTTGGCTGAGTTATGTTATTGACACGGCTGACTTAACTTTCTCTGGTTGGCTGAGTTATCGACAACGGCTGAGTTATCAAATGTCGTTACGGCTGACTTATGTTTCAGAGACATAACTCAGTCGTAATTGGCTGACTTAACGGAAAACTCAACCATGTTACGGCTGACTTATAGACAAAATATTTATTGCTAATATAGCCTCCAGTTACGGCTGACTTCTTTTACGTTACGGCTGACTTATTGACGTTACGGCTGAATTTGGCATCTTAAAAAACATTTTAGTAATTACTTAAATATTTTTCACGTTGTGGCTGATTTAATTTGTGTTGATGGCTGATTTATTTTGGCTGAGTTTAAAATTTGTTTGGTGGCTGACTTACGACTTCAAATGCACAATTCCACGTCAGCATAAACGAGGGAAATACGAAAGGTCCACCATTAGCTCGAGTTTTTTCTTACACTCTGTTCTTCATTTTCTGTTCTTCACTTCACTTCTGTTCTTCATTTTCACTTCTGTTCTTCATTTCTAATCTTCATTTTCGTTGATAGATCTGGTTCTAGTAATTGTTGTTTATGGTAATTGGGTAAAAAACACAAATATGTATTTTAACGCCGACGATAGAGGGTGTAGAGTTGTGCAGATATATGTTGAAAGAACACACGAAAAGCTTGTGAAGTTGGTTCTCGATGACTACAGATTGAATGAGTTGAGCCATCATGTAACAATGAGCTACATGTTATCGTTACAATAATTCAGCCAAACCTCGAAATGGTCTGTGTAAGTCAACCATGACGCTGGCATAACTCAGCCACACCACAAATTTATTTACGTTAAGTCAGCTATGTCGTTGGCATAACTCGGCCAAACCTCGAATTATTCTACAATAAGTCAACCATGTCGTTGGCATAACTCGGCCAAACCTCAAATATGGTACATGTGAATATTTGATGCACTCATGTAATAAAAACACTTTAATAATATGTAGTTAACACTTTTATTAACTTTCCATAAAAAATCATGAAATTCGCTCAGGTTTGTACCTTTTATAACATATCCAACAAAACGATAAACCCCAAACCCTATACTTATGCTCTATTCCTACACAGTTGATCACATATAGAATGTAAAAGAGCTGTTATTGATTTTTGTTAATTGTATTATAATATATTTAATCTCTACATTATTATAACCAGTGCTAATGTTAACATTCAAGTGTCTCTTTAAATTAAAGTTTTAATCATTAGTCAACCTTGAAAAGTAAATAACTCAGCTGTGACGTATTATTCTATATTCAGACACAAAACTTTGAATTATTTTGTTTAGAAAATTTGAATTCAAATTTTGAATTATTTTGAATATATTTTTTAAAACATAATACTCTATGACTTTATTATGCATATGTATAACACAACTCATCCGTAATGTAGTATAACTCAGCCGCAATGTAGCATAACTCAGCCGTGACGTATTATTCTATATTTAGACAAAAACTTTAAATTATTTTGAATATTTTGTTTATAAAATTTGAATTCAAATTTTGAATTATTTTGAATAATTTATTTAAAACATAATACTCTATGACTTTATTATGCGTGTGCGTGTGAATATGTGTACGTAATTATTGTTGGTCTTTCCCGAAAAACACTTTTTGTAATCTCGAGAAAGTATATCATAACTCAGCCGTAATGTAGCATAACTCAGCCGTAATGTAGCATAACTCAGCCACAATGCGGCATAACTTAGACAAAAAGTTGAAAACGACGTTTCGTATTTCCCTTTTGTTTTTTCGTCGGAAAACGAAAAGTCTCCAGCCGAGTTGAAATGAAAGGCGATTGCAATGACGAAGAGAGAGAGAGACTCGTCGGTATGAGTCG